ATCCCTGCCATGTGTATCTCATAAGCATACAAAAGATGGTGAATTCCAGAGGTTTTAGGAGTTCTGTGCCAGGAACCAGAGACAAAGACCAAATATTTCTATTCTACTACACCACCATGACTCATTATAGAACCTCCAAACCTTTGAAGCAAAATCAACAGAATTAAAGGGAGAAACAGACAATTCCACAATCATATCTGGAGATTTCAGTACTTCTCTCTCACTAATTGAGAAGCAACTAGACAAAAGAGTCAGTAAAGACATAGACGATGTGAACAACACCGCCAACCATCAGAATGTAACTGATATTTATAGAATGCTACACCCAGCAGCTACAAACTATGTATTCCTTAAAAATGTACATGATAATAATGGTAGGCTATAATAATGGTAGCCTCAATAAATCAGAAAGGCTTAAAACTGTACAAAGTATGTTTTCCTAACCACAACAATTAAACTGGAAATTGAAATCCTCAAATTTTAGAAATTAAACAAATTTTAAATAATCTGCAGATCAGAGAAGTAATAAGATAAATTAGAAAATATTTCAAACTGATAACAAAATGACAACATATCACAATTTGTGAGATGCAGTAAAAGCAGCACTTAGAAATTTAATCTTTAAATGTTTATTTTAGGAAAGAAGAAAGGTCTAAAATCAAAGTTCTAAGGTTTCATCTTAAGAAGGTTGAAAATGAAAAGTGAAGTAAGGTGGAAATAAATAGAGGGAAAGAAATTATAATAGAAATCAGTGAAATTAAAGAAAAACAACAGAGAAATTTAACAAAGCCAAGACTCAGAGGGGAAGAAGCTGAGTGGTCCGGGGATGCCATTGTGAGGATGACTGGGCTGAGGCTACAGGATGTCATTGGGTCATATGGTCATGCGAAGGGTTTTGTCGCCACTCTTGTTTTACCGTAGTGTTTTGAGGCATGTATTATTTTTTTAACAGCATTTTGAAATTTAAAATTTGAGTATAATCTTATCTTGCTCAAAATAAAGTAAATGCCTGCCACTTTTCTATGCCTCCAATTTCTCTCTTTGCCCTTCAGCACTGTTGACAAAAACCTCTTCCTCATTTCTTATTGCCATTATCTTTGCTGGTTCACAACAATATACAGATGCGTGTGGATTCCATTCAAGATGTAGGGCTTGGGGCACCTGGGTGTCTCAGTCAATTAAGCATCTGAGTCTGACTTCAGCTCAGGTCATGATGTCACGGTCCTGGGATTGAGCTCCACGCTTGGCCAGGATTCTGTTTCTCCCTTTCCCTCTCTCTCTGCCCCTCCTCCTGCTCCTACACACTCACTCTCTCAAATAAATAAAATCTTAAAAAAAAAAAAAAAAAAGATGTAGTGCCGGCAGAGCTGCATTTGGTCTTAATATAGGGTCTCCAGGAGAGTATTGTCTGGAAGAGAGGGCTACATGTTCTTGCTTCCATTTAACATGCTGTTGAAATTTGCAAATGCTGTGTACTTTTGTAAGAATATAAGTTACAATTTGGGCTATGGAAAATGATAATTTGATCAATGAATATTTGGTGTTAGTTTTCATTAGAATTTGGATTTTTTTGTTTAGTTTCTTTTCTTAAGTGACAGTCATAAGACTCAATAAAAGTTTGAATAGGTTGGGGCACCTGGTTGGCTTGGGTTAAGCATATGACTCTTGATTTCTGCTCAGGTTATGATCTCAGGGTCATGAGATCAAGCCCTGTGTTGGGCTCTGTGCTGGGTGTGGAGCCTGCTTAAGATTCTCTCTCTCCCTCTCCCTTGGCAACCCCCTCCACCCACCTCCTGCTCATGCTGGCTCGCTCTCTCTCTCTCAAAGTTTTGAATAGCTTATGCATAAGCAATTGCATTTTATTATATAATTCACCATAACATACTTTTGCTTCATTGTGTCTTTTCTCCCTCCCTCCTTCCTTCCTTCCCTCCCTTCCTTCCTTCCTTTCTCTTTCTTCCCTTTCTTTCTTCCTTCCTTCCTTCCTCCCTCCCTCTTTCTTTCTTTCTTTCTTTCTTTCTTTCTTTCTTTCTTTCTTTCTTCCTTCCTTCCTTCCTTCCTTCCTTCCTTCCTTTTTCTTTCTTTCTTTCTTTCTTTCTTTCTTTCTTTCTTTCTTTCTTTCTTTCTTTCTTTCTTTCTTTCTTTCTTTCTTTCTTTCTTTCTTTCTTTCTTCCTTCCTTCCTTCCTTCCTTCCTTCCTTCCTTCCTTCCTTCCTTCCTTTCTTTCTTTCTTTCTTTTTCTTTCTTTCTGTCAAATAAGAAACACCCCTCCCCCAAAGTGTTTAAAAGAGATTTGTGACATCTACTGAAAAGTAGAAAATATAGAACTTGTTATCTGGAAATTTGTGATATATATGGATTCAGCTATGCCATAGACTAATATTGTCCTCTGAAGCTAACTACAGTCAATAAAAAAATCCTCATCTAAGATGACTTTTCGTTCAGTCCACAAATACCAGCATTATCTAAGGCTCCACTTTGTAGAGGTGCATGGAGAGAGCCAAAAGAATGTGTCTTTGAGTCAGACAGACGTGGTTTCAAATACAAGCTGTGCCACCTAGTATTTCTGTAATCTTGATTGTGTCCCTTGAGGGGTTTGAATGTCAATATTTTTAATGCCTACTTCACAAGGTTACAGTGTGCTTTAGAGGAAATAATGCATATAAAGTGCTGGCACATAGAGGTCCTCTGTGTTCTTCCCTCCTTGACCTGTAATACAATAAACTCTGAGTGACTAGTAGCGTTTGCATTTTCAGAGAGCCCGTGTGGCAGACTGGAAGGAGAAGGCTTTCGAAGCACAGACTAAGCCTTACTCTCCTTTGCCATTCATTGGCCACCTGACTTGATACTAATTACTTAACCTTTTTGAATTTCTGTTTCCCCTGTATAAGAAAAGAAAAATAAGATTGTATCTGTAGACATGTGATGGTTAAAGGAGTTATGTAAACATTTAGCACAGTGCCTGGCATAATTAATGCTCAATTAAGAGTAACTTCCAAAAAAAGAGAGGAGCTTCAGTTCTATCGTTTTTGTGCTATTACAATTTTTTTTTTTAATTAAGGTTTTCTTTCAAGACACCTTCGATTTTCACTGCGTTCTAATGATCAAAACCTGCAGGGGGTGCCTGGCTGGCTCAGTCCATAAAGAATGCGACTCTTGATCTCAGGGTCATTAGTTCAAGCCCCACGTTGAGTGTAGAGCTACTTTAAAAAAAAACAACAACAAACCCTCAGGGTTGCAATCAGCAATGTTAGAGCTCAGATCAATTTCTGGTTCAAATACTGGATATTTAATTTTATCTCTGCTTCTGTTTATGAGGGCTAGAGAAGCCAATCTCACTGTTCCACATGCTGCAGAGCAAAAAGATGCTCTTGAGCTCAGTGGAGGTTATTTTTCATAGCTCCAAGAACCTAATCTTTATGATTGATGACTGTTGTTTTAAGATAAATAAAAAGTCCCATCCAAAGAATTCATATCTCAGATTATTGATTTCTATTGAAATTGCCTACCTTTCAGTGCAACAGAGTATATGATCAGGGAGGTAAAGAGCAATATTTATTTGATTAAAATTTCTTCGGCTTGATTTTCTTGTTGCTAGTGGCAACCAACAAAAGAATAGATCTAAAATGATAGGTAACAACCACAATGATTACAGTCTATGTTTTTATCTTTACCCAGTTGTGATTTTAAAATAGCTTTTCTAGTGCTTATAGTCACAAAAATGATTACTGTATATACCACCTTAGATCTATTGACAAATCACACCTACCTAAACAACCCTATTTCACTAATGAACCTCTTGCCAGGGCTTGGAGAGCCAACCCCAGGCCACACGTGCCATTGCTACATTAACAGCTGTGAGGAAGATGACACTATTTACATTACAGGAATTATTTTCCAAAGTGCATTTCCTATTAACTGGTATGTTTTGGATCAGCACAACATTCTGTGTTGCAGCAGCCATTTACACAGTTTGTATCTTTTTGAAAATAGTATCACTTCCTAAAAACAAAACAAAACAAAACAACTGCATATAATCTATTTAAGAATTTGGAGATTCTGGTATAGAATATACTGAAGTCTCCAAAGGTGACTAAAAATATACCCTTGGCAGATCTGTTCATAATCCAGTGAAATTCTATTAGAATCCTTTCCAAGGACAAAAGGACATCTTTGTCAGCAGGAAAACACTAACTTTACAGAAGCATGGCACAGCTCAGGGATGTTTGTTGGATCTTCCAAAATTGAACCTCACATACAGGAAAAAAAAAACACTAGAGCAGTTCATGACATAATATAGTTTCACTCTTCCTCCAATCATCTTGTTCATTTGCAAGCCAATGGAGAGAATCTTCCAGTACATGATTTGATCTCGGCTTGCAATGATGCTATCTCTCTGATTCTTGGAGTGTCACATTCACATGGACAGGACTTGCAGAGGAGTGGCCTTTATCAAACCACAATAAGACTTCTGCTGGACGGGAAGCCTCTTTGGTGAAAATCTTATGCTAAGTTATGTTTCTTGAGACCATGGAAGTGTCCCCCATTCATTGCATGTTAAAGGGCAGGACACCCTGAGGAGGAAGACTTTAGCCTGCTAACAGTTACAGCACAGTAGAGGATGGAGTTGGGGAGCAGAGCACTTTCTAAGCAGCTGGGAATTAATGGGGCCCTTACTCCTGATGAGGGGTGATCCTTGGCAGCAAGACACAGCACAGGAAGTATAATGCAGAGAGAACCTCTCTGAGCTGAGCAAGGCCAGAGGGCAGGGGAGGAAGCCAAGAAGTGGTGTGAGAGGATCAAAAACATTTTGTCCACTTCAAAAAATTTCCTAAGCCTGGCACTCAAGATCATTTATAATAATAATAAAAAAAAAACGCTCTTAAAAAAGTTTGATCTAGCCAAAGTCACGAGATACAAGTGACAGTTCCCTGTTTGCCTTTCTTCTAAATCTGTACAGTGATGCAACATCGCTTATCTTCTTGCTTAAATTTGCTGCAGGCAATGAAGACCTGACCTTCCTGGCTCTAAGCCGGAGCTGGCTCTGAGTGAATGTTGCCAGGGTGAAGGATGGAGTACTGAAGAAGTGATGAGTAAGCTGTTAATCTTAACTCTGCTTGCCTTCCCCATGCTCACGCAGACTGGAATGGATTGGAGCCCTCCTTGTTTCTAGGGCTCACTGGGGGATACTATTTATTCAATTAGAAAACAGCTGTGTCTCTGGGAAGAAGAATTTGGCTGCGGTCCTGATCATCAGGCCTTCATCCACTCATTGAGTGTGTGCACGTCCGTGGCACTTCCGTGGCACTTCCGTGGCACTCCCTGCGGCCCTGGTGGTGCCTTGTGCACACACCCAAGTCCCACTCCATGAAGGGCACATGAGACTATGCTCTCTAGCTTGGTAATTCCCAACATGGGTGATGTTCAGTCCCATTCAGTCACATTTGTATTCATTAATTTGAAGCTCTTTCCATTTTCTCTTTGTGCTTGGGAGATCCCACACTCATTGTTTTGCCTGAATTTTCTCAACTTATCTGCTTCTGACATTTCTCTTCTTAGTAGCTCATTTCTACAAAATCCCCCGAATTTTGAATTTTTGAGAAACCCTAGTGTTTTTGTGAACTTGCTGAATTAGAATCCTTCTTCCTTCCTTCCTTCCTTCCTTCCTTCCTTCCTTCCTTCCTTCCTTCCTTCCTTCCTTCCTTCCTTCCTTCCTTCCCTCTTTGTCTTCCTGTAGGTATAAATTGTGCAGTAATTCTTTCAATGTGAAAATTGCAATATTTGGACCAGAGTTCTTGTTGCTGCTACAATCACAAATTTAGTGACTTAATATAATTTTATTTTCTACATTTCTGGAGGTCAGAAGGCTGGAATGGCCTCACTGGGTTAAAACCAGTGCATCATCAGGGCTTTGTTACTTTTAGAAACTCTAGGAGAATCCTGCTCCTTGCTGGTTCCCCCTTCTACAGTCTGTCTGCAATCCTTCTGTGGTGGCCTCTTCCATTGTCAAAGACAGCAGTGGTCAATCAAGTCTTTCACGCTCATCACTGACTTTATTTCCCTCCTCATAGCTCCTTCTCTGACTCTTACACTCTTGCCCCCCTCTTTTCATTTATAAGGATCCTTGTTACAAGGGTCCTTTACATGGGGCTCACCCAGATAATCCAGGATAATCTCCCCATCTCAAGATCCTTGATTTAATCACATCTTCAAAATCTTTTTTTCCATGTAAAACAATTATTCACAGATTCTAGGAATTAAGATGGGAATATATTGGGTGGGGTGGGGGAAGGTTATTATTCTGCTTACTATAGCCCTAATGAGCTCCTAAAAATAAAATAAGGTTGTTTATTCCTTTCAGGTTGAAAGAATAGCTGCATCTAACCTAGATTCTGAATCTCCAAATCTTGGCCCAAATGCTTGCTCATCTTCTCTGCCTTAAGTCCAGTAGAACAGTATCAGATGTAATACTTTCGTGGAAGAGTATATTCCATTATAGACCAGAATGAATTCTTTATGTGTGCAGGTAATACACATTTTAGTGAGCTGAAAATGAACTTGACTCTGCAAAATGTCACCGTATATTTTGGCACTTTTATAACTAGTTTCAAACACTTGATCATTTTAGTAATGGTATATGAATACTATTTTGTGTGCTATAATATTTCCCAACTTTTGTCCTTATGTTTTTATACTTCATTTTCTTCTTTTTCCAAGAAAATTAGATGAAAACTCTATAATATTTTCTTGGAAATAAAAAGATATGACCTGTAATGACTGCAATGATATAATTACCATTATTCTATTGTAGTGAATTTTAGACCAGGATGACTTATAAGATATAGTAAAAGCATCAATAAACTTCATTTAGTCTGCCTGTCCCTGTGTGTTCATAGGAATTAAATGTCACTCCTGTTCTTGAAGAATCCATAGTTTACTAGGAGAAAGAGATCATGCACAGCAGAGAGAATTGGCAACCTGTGGGAGCAAGACTCATACTAGAAAATTAAATAAGGTGATTCAAATTTTGTTAGTAGAGGACATTCAGACTATAAACATGCAAGCAAAGGTATTTCCTTGGAAATTGGAGGTAAATGTCACTTTCTTAAGTTTGTATTTGGAACAAAGGAGGTTAGCATTTACAATACATGTTGAAATAAAATTTCTAATTTGAAATATCTTTGTATTTATTTACATATTTCTTCTTGATGTCATATTAAAAGACTTGATGATATTAATGAATAGGAAACAATGTACAGAACATTAAAATGGGTATTTCAGAGATTAGAAAAGAAAAGTGATTAAAATATGTATCTTTATTGTTGGGATTTTTGTTTATAAAATACCATTGAGTGTCTATCCCCCAAGGGAATACAGAGGACATAGGTTTGTGGAGGAAGAGTAAGAACAACATAGTTATTACTCCTGATGAATGGGGATGACAGGCAGATCCACAACATTAATTTAATACAAAAATAATATAAATGATTAAATCTTAGAGACACATATACAATTACCTATAGTAGTGTGGAGATAATTACGTTAAGAATTAGTTGTTAGGAAAGACGAAAGATTAAGAGACTAAGAGTTATTCTTGAGTAACTGCCAAAAATGCCCATATTAAGAAAAAAAAATCTTCTTTAAAAGTATGTTGTACCCTTGAATCCCTTTGATGTAGCTTTAGTATATTCATTCAGGAGAAGGTACGACTAGATTTATGACAAGACCATGTGATCATCTTCTCTTGCTTTTGTCTACCTATCCTGAGTTGCCTTCGATTGTAGCTTTGGGAAAAATCTTATTTGATCAATGTAACGTTGCATTTCCTAGTTCAAAGGATCAAAAATTTACTCTGCATGTATGCGGCTGCAATTGGGTTGAGGTCACATTAAATATGGTTATAATGGCTGGGGCCAGTTGGCTGGCACAAATGAGGATGATTGAGAATCACTATCTTGTGTCATAAGATCTGCATCCACTTGCCACCATTTGCCAAATGATGCTTTATCCCCCCTGGAATTGTGCTTGGTGGTTTGGGGTGAACAATAAAATTCAATAATAGTAATTCCAATCTTGTTGGTAGATGGCTAACCAGCTTTTATGTCTATATGACACCAAAATAACCCTATTGTTGTTTTAATTGCTTGAATTTGTTATTTTGGCTGCATAACATCTTCAGAGTGAAAATCACAATACATGCTGAATAGAACTGTAAGGAAATTTTAGGTGAGATTTCCTTTGGAAATGAAGACCATTGTGATGAACTGAAGGAACCATGGAATACTACTATGCTGTGGCTCTGAGGTCTGCAGGAGCCCTGTAGTGGCCTATAGAAGCAGGGAGAATGATGGAGCAACATAACTAGGTCTCTGACTATTTTAAGACATGAACGTCTGAATGACAGGAACCCAGTAATATCAAATACCATTCCCTAGGAAGAGAAGTGGGCTAAGTCTTTGCAGTTTGGGTAATATATAAGCTGAATCAGAGATTCCAAAAGATTTTTAAAAGATTTTAAAGATTATTTTTCAAATTAAAAAAAATTCAAAAAGATTTTGTATACTTAAAAACATACTGTCATTTCCAAGTAAGAAACTATTTTTGCTTTAAAAAATAGGCTTGGGGCGCCTGGGTGGCTCAGTCAATTAAGCATCCAACTTGTGATTTTGGCTGAAGTCATGATCTCAGGGTTGTGAGATGGAGCCCTGCGTGGGGCTCTGTGCTCTGCTTGGGATTCTCTCTCTCTCCCTTTCCCTTTTCCCCTCCCCCTGCTTTGTGGGTGTGCATTCTTTCTATCAATCAATAAATAAAATCTTTAAAAAAAAAAAAGACTTAAATAATAGCCTCAATTGTTTATTAAGTTGATCTTTTTCATTTCAGAAACATATTTCCAAGGCAAGGTCCTGTGTTTGATATTGTTTGTTCCTCAGAGAGTTAAAGGCTTGAAGGACACTAGGGCCAAGAGCATATGGCTGACACAAAGAGGCAGCTGAGGCCATTCGAAATTCCCACTTGTGAGAAAGTGGTTTGGGCCTCCATTGTCCAGATTAGCCGTCTATTTACTAGAGTATTATTCAGTTTCCTCCTTCTGCCTGGGTCCGCTATCAGCATGACAGAACTAGAATGACTGTAAATCTGACCAGTGATTTATTGTGGCCAATCCATAAACTTGATGAGCGACAGGAGCATGGGAGTGTTGGGGCCTTTGCCATGCAAGGTGAGCTCTATGTTTTGCCATAACTGAGTTCTGTGAACTCTGGCCGTATCACATTATTCTTCATGATAGTGAGCTACCCTTAGACACTGAACTTTCCTTGGAAGTGATTATATAGTCAAAATTGTGTGGAGCTTTTATGTGTGTGGTGTCAAAAATTTAGTGCATAAAACCATCCATTGATAAGGGAAGACTGGCATATTAGAAGCACAAATTGATGCTCATTTAGGCATATTGCTTTAAGTGTTGTAAGGCATTAATGCAAGCATTTTGTAGAAATGTTATGTTTTTTCTTAAAAGACTTGGGATAATTGATGTGCTTCAGTAACCTTTGGTTTTATGTATCCCTCCCTTTTTTTTTTTTGAATTTTATTTTATTTTTTAATAATTTTTCTATTTAAATTCAGTTAATGTATAGTGTACTATCAGTTTCAGAGGCAGAGTTCAGTGATTCATCAGTCGTACATAACACCCAGTGCTCATTACATCACATGCCCTCCTTAATGTCCATCACCCAGTTACCTCATCCCCCCACCCACCCTCTCCTCCAGCAACCTTCAGTTTGTTTCCTATGATTAAGAGTCTCTTATGGTTTGTCTCCCTCTCTGATTTTGTCTTGTTTTATTTTTCCCTCCTTTCCCCTATGATCCTCTATTTTGTTTCTTAAGTTCCACATATGAGTGAGATCATATGGTAATTGTCCTTCCCTTTACCTGACTCTCCTGGCTACTTGGTTCCGCATCCTCTTCCAGCACTTCTGTACTAGAGTGAGCCTGTGGGTGCAGTACTTCCTCTGGGTTTCCATATAAACGGCAATTAGATTGGAGTTTGGGTTTTGTAAGATATACAATTCCTCCTTTTTATTTTATAGCATTGGAG